TTTTTGGGTATTTTTGTAGAGAATTTTCTGATCCAGCCCAATTGAGATCCAATTGGGTTGTATTTGGCCCCTGGACCACAGTGAGTTTCACACCCCTGAACTACAGGGTTCTCCTGGTACCAGCAGCCAAGAGCAGCAGAGAGAGACCAGAGAGAGCAGAGAGAGAGACCAGAGAGGGACCAGAGAGAGACCAGAGAGCAGAGAGAGAGACCAGAGAGAGCAGAGAGAGAGACCAGAAAGAGACCAGAGAGAGCAGAGAGAGACCAGAGAGAGCAGAGAGAGACCAGAGAGAGACCAGAGAGAGCGGAGAGAGAGACCAGAGAGAGCAGGGATTTTATTTCAGTGTCTGTGGAGATGAGAAAGATAAGTTTTTGAAACTCTGTGATGATGTAGTTTCTGAAAAGTGAATTATTTAAAGTAGTTCAATGTTTTTTTTCCTCTCTGTGATGATGTCATCGTGAGCCACTCTTTGGTTTTTATTTTATATTTTTGCAGGAATCAATTTATTTATGTCTTTTTAGCCCTCTCTAATACATATTGGAGAAGGCTATCATTATTTCTTGGTTTAATATTATTGTTATTTTTCCGCCAAAAGGATTCGATTTTTTGACCCTGCAAAACATTTCATTAAAGCCACCCTACAGCTGCTCCATATGAAAAAACATGTTAACTAATAACAAATGTGACCTTTTTAAGAATATTTACCTCCACCATGTTTTTTAAATTGTTTACATAGGCTTAGAATTTAACTTATAAGTGTCCATGAGAGAGGGGTGCTCTCTGTGTAAATGCGCCATCTTGAAAACCGGTGGTGGATGAGGAACAAAAACGTTTCGAGAAACGCATTTTCGTTTCACATGAGCTACTGATATTGTTGCTTTGACCGTGACTTCACAAGTTGGAAGAAGGAACCATGGAGGACCACAGTTATATAAAAGAACAATGGAGGACCACAGTTATATAAAAGAACCATGGAGGACCACAGTTATATAAAAGAACCATGGAGGACCACAGTTATATAAAAGAACCATGGAGGACAACAGTCTCAGGATGTTCTGACCCGATCCGAGCGCAGTCCAACTACTGCCACAAGTTTCAACAAAACTTTTTCAGGGATAAGCCTCAAATAAAACACACACAGAATCCCCACAAAACAATCGCAGAATACTTTATCAGCAGCGTGAGTGAATGTTCTGTTTTCTTACCGTGATGATGTAGCATAAAATCTGAGCTTTTAGCCGCAGTTCTAACGCGTCTGTGACCTGTCTCCTACTTCTCGGACCATTGTTGTTTTAAACTCCCACAGATTTCCCATTCTCCAGGCTTCTCTTCTCACCACGTTTGTAAAACTATATATTATAATAGATCCATGGTTAAACACCTCTGTGCAGCGCGTGCCGCTTCACAACGCGGACTTTGTCTACATGTCACCTCCGCGCATGTGTGTGAGGCACATTGGTGGCGCCGCAATGTTTGGAGAGATCCGGTCATTAATGAAACTAAAGGATTCTTTCCTTGGTGGTCCGGTGAATTACCGGGTGTTCGGGACCACAGTTATATACGGCATACCTCGGAGGCTTCCGTAATGTTTGCAGTAGACATATGATCTCAACGATAGATGGCAGTAAAAATTACACAGTGTACCTTTAAATGGACGTTTTCAGTTTGTCCGCCGCATGCCGACTCTACATCGCCCCCTGGAAAATTAACATTTGCATGAGCCTAAAACTCTCTTGGAGCCTCACTTTGGGACCAATAGGAAGTCGACCATGAACGTATGAAGTTTCTCCGCCAACTTCACATTTCATTTTTGGATTCAAACTAGTGCTTGGTTTTTCATCACACAGACATCAACAATGTAATCTCCCAATCTGCATAGATTGATATTATATAATCCCTTTGAAAATGTTTTTGTCGCTCGTCATGGTAAAGAAGGCCATCATTTTGGGTGTTTTGGCTAAGCCCTGAGGGCCACAGGCTCAGACCTACAGAGCTGAGGCCCCGTTTATACGGAGACAATGCGGCAGTAAAACGCTATGGTTGGATGTAGGTTGCTACACCCCGTTCATATGGAGAGTGTGTTCCAGGTGAAGACGTAAGAGTTAAGATCCAGCCTGCAGAGTGGGACAGCTCAGATACGCTGCTCAGCGGGGCGCTCTTTCACAGCCAAGTGAAGGATGTGAATTCCCTGCCTGATCTGACCCCCACCTCCCCGCTGCTCCCCACACGTAAATTTGGACATGCGCAGTAGCCGAGAACAAACGTAAACAACAATGGCGGCGGGTAAACTAACTAGCTACGTGTGCTTCGAGCGCTACACGGAGGAGAAATGTACTCCCTCGTTCGTTCAAACGAAACCACGTGAAGCTCTAGTTTCAGTTTATATTTTCGCAGCTGCTGTTAAAATGCAGAATGATGTTGGTGCTTTCACGTCTTGCAGAGGAAGTGAGTATACTGCTGGGGCTCGCGTGTGTCGTGTTCCTCTGCCCACTACTGGCCAGGCACTAGAACTACATAGTTTTTCATCCTTGTATGAAAGCTGTGAAATTTGCATAAGGAGCCTGGTCCGTCCGTACGTCCGTTTTCCTCCGCTTCATCCGTTGCCGGGTCGCGGGGGCAGCAGTCTAAGCAGAGACGCCCAGACTTCCCTATCCACACACACTTCCTCCAGCTTGTCAGGGGGGACCCAGAGGCGTTCCCAGGCCAGCTGAGAGACATAGTCCCTCCAGCGTGTCCTAGGTCAACCTCAACTGGTTCCTCTCGACGTGGAGTAGCAGCAGCTCTACTCCGAGCTCCTCCTGTGTGACCGAGCTCCTCACCCTATCTCTAAGGGAGCGCCCAGCCACTCTGCGGAGGAAGCTCATTTCGACCGCTTGTATCCGCGATCTCGTTCTTTCGGTCATTACCCACAGCTCATGACCATAGGTGAGGGAGGGAACGAAGATTGACCGGTAAATCGAGAGCTTCGCCTTTCGGCTCAGCTCCCTCTTTACCACAACGGTCCGATACAGCGACCGCATCACTGCGCACGCTGCACCGATCCGCCTGTCAATCTCACGCTCCATCCTTCCCTCACTCGTGAACAAGACCCCGAGATACTTGAACTCCTCCACTTGAGGAAGGACCTCTCCACCCACCTGAAGAGGGCAGGGCACCTTTTTCCGGTCGAGCACCATGGCCTCAGATTTGGAGGTGCTGATTCTCATCCCAGCCGCTTCACACTCGGCTGCAAACCGTCCCAGTGCATGTTGTAGGTCCTGGTTCGTTGGAGCCAACAGGACGACATCGTCCGCAAACAGCAGAGATGAAATCCTGTGGTCCCCGAACCGGACCCCCTCCGGCCCCTGGCTGCGCCTAGAAATTCTGTCCATGAATACAGTGAGCAGAACCGGTGACAAAGGGCAGCCCTGGCGGAGGCCAACATGCACCGGGAACAGGTCTGACTTACTGCCGGCAATGCGAACACAGCTCTGGCTCCGGTCATACAGGGACCGAACGGCCCTCAGCAGAGGACCCCGGACCCCGTACTCCCGGAGAACCCCCCAAAGAACACCCTCATATACCGCCTTTCACAACCAAGGGTCACAAAGCAGTTTACAGTTGTGGGCATTTGTCCTCTCACTCCACACAGAGATGGGAACATGGCAGCCGCTCTCAGAGCGTTGGATTTCAGTGGATTTCATCAGACAAAGCCGGCGATGAGAGGATTTATGAGACTGAGAGGACCATGCTTTTTATAACAAATTATATATAAACGCTTTCTTAGTTCTTTAGAAAACACACAGAACAAAACCTTCCATCAACATAACTTTAAAGCTGGTGATTCCCTCCAGGGGCCGCGGGAGACCCCCACACACCAAGACGGAGACCAGGTCCAGAATGAGACCAGAGAGAGAGACCAGAAAGAGAGAAACCAGAAAGAGAGACCAGAAAGAACAGAGAGACCAGAGAGAACAGAGAGAGAGACCATGAGTGAGAGAACAGAGAGACACCAGAGAGAGACCATGAGTGAGAGAACAGAGAGACACCAGAGAGAGACCATGAGTGAGAGAACAGAGAGACACCAGAGAGAGACCATGAGTGAGAGAACAGAGAGACACCAGAGAGAGACCAGGATAAGCATCTTTAGCTCAAAGAGAAAACCATCCTCACTCACTCGGCCAATCAGCTCTCAGCCAAAAGATGCAGATAATGACTCACAGGGCTCACAGGCCATAATGTGTTATTTAAGAGCTCCCGCTCCCTTCTCTGCCCTTCTCTCTGTCCTCCCCCCCTTTCTCTCTCCCCCTCTCTCCCCCCTCTTGTGTTTTTTCAACGTGTCTCGCCTCAGGCTGAGTTTACACGGAGACAATGTGGCAGTAAAACGGTATAGTTGGATGTCGGTTCCTACCAACCGTTCATACGAAGACTGTGTTCCAGGGGGGTGAAAACGTAAGTGTTCAGATCCAGCCTGCAGAGTGGGACAACTCAGAAACGCTGCACAGCAGGGAGCTTTTTCACACCCGCGAGAGGGGAAAGGTGTGAAATCCCCCTCTGCTCTGACCCCCACCTCCGCGCTGCTCCCCGCACGTAAATTTGGACATGCGCAGTAGCGGAGAACAAACAAAAACAATAATGGCGCCGCCCACACAAACTAGCTACGTGGGCTTCCAGCGCGGGACAGAGGATAATTCTACACCTTCGTTCGTCCAAACGAGACCACGCGAAGCTCTAGGTTCAGTTTCCATTTTCACAGCTGCTGTTAAAATGCAGAATGATGTTGGTGCGTTCTGAGGGTCTGGCACAGGAAGTGAGTACACTGCCGAGAGGGGGGCTGGGCACGGGGCTGGGGGTCGTGTGAGTGTTGTAAAGTTTCTCTGTCCACTACTGGCCGGGCGCTAGAACTACATCGTTTTTCAACCTCATGTGAACGCAGAGAAATTTGCATTAGGAGCCAGGTCGTTTCTGTTAATAGCCTGGAAACGTCTGCGCAGCGTCTCAGTATAAACAGGGCCTCAGACTCAATCCACACATTTCTGCTCAACCTGCTCCACCCGCTCCGGGGGGGGAGTCTGGGGGAGAGTATTGAGAAGAGTCTGGGGGGGAGTCTGGAGGGGTGAGTCTGGCGAGTCAGGGGGGAGTGTCTGAGGGTGAGTGTGGAGGGGAGTGGGCTCTGCCTGAGGTCAGTCTCCCACACGTGTTTAAAGGGAAATATATTACAAACACCCAAAACTACAGCCCCCATAATCCCCCAGGTCTGTGTGGGTGTGAGTGTGAGTGTGAGGGTGTGTGTGTGTGTGTCCGTGTGTTTGTGTGTGTGTATTTGTGTATGTGTGAGTGTATCTGTGTGTGTCTATAGTGTGGAGATTACCAGGAGATTTATCACAGCCCATGGGGAGAGCACACAAACTGTTCGACCCTCGACAAAGTGAGGCCATTAGCAACACACACACACACACACACACACTGGGGCTGCGGACATGATGTGGGTCAACGCAGATACAAACTGGATTCTTGTTCAATGGAAAAACAACTAAAAAGGTGATTCCTAAGAATTTCCTATTCCAGAACTTAAGCAGGACTAATGCCGCGTTCAGACCGGATCATACGTTACGTCTGCTTTCAATGCAAATTCAATGGTGACGCGCGTTCAAGTGTCAAAACGCACGGACCTCTCGGCATGCACGCACGGGCTGCTCAATAGAGACGCACGGACTGCGCGGGAACGCCAAAGGGGAGGAGCAGGAGCGGAAAATTGACGCCCACAGGAGATAAACTTTGCTCAACCTTTCTTCGGGACGTTCGTGCAGCAACCAATCAGAGAGCCGCAAAGTGGTCACGGGGACATTAGTGGTCTGAGCGAGCAGACTGAACATGCTGTAAACAGCCAAAACAGGAGCTACACCAGGACTAAACCAGAGTTGACAATGGGGGACTCTGTGCTTGTGAATATATGCGTTGTCATGCTCCCGTAACTTTATGCAACTGCTTCGAGTGTGTTCGCCGATGCGGAAGTATCGTTTAATAATAAAATAAACACCGTGAACACATACTACTGTTATATAAAGCCCGTGGAAGGTCTCTGAACACAGACACGCTGCAAAGCTGCATTATTGGAGAAGATCTTTACACGAGAAGCCGCTAGCATAACTCTGTTAGAATCAGAGCAGGCCGGCTACTTCCGGCACTTCCGGCGCTGGTCTAAAGCAGGTCTAGAGCAGGACTAAAGAAGGTCTAGAGCAGGTCTAATGCAGGAGTGTGTATACTCGGCCTGTGTATACTCGGGCGTCACTGGTTGTGTTGCTGGACCCGTGGTTGGTTTCGCAGCCACAGTAGTTCGTATACTCGAGAGTGCCCCCCTGCATAGTTTTGAAGCAAATGTTGTAATCCCACACCCAACCACATGATGGCGATCTCACAGAAGTTGCCTGGGAAACCAAAGGGTCCCATTATAAAGATACGCTGTGAACCAAGCTGTACAATTGTTGTTGTTTTTTGTTTTTTTTTGTTGGAAAAACATAGTTATTATTTAAGTATATTCAGCACAAACAGCAACACAATAAGTGGTATTTATCTGAGACAAACATGAAAGTGCAGGGGGAATGGAACAGACGCAATTAGCCTCATCATATTCCCCTCAGACATAATTCACGCTGAAATGAATCTAAGGAGTGAGAAAAGTCAAAGCTGGAATGATGCTGTTTTTATGAGAGAACTGGCTCCAATAACATCACGTCTCAAAGGTTTTAAAAGAACAGGTTTCGCTCTGATAATACCTCTCTCTGGTCTCTCTCTGGTCTCTCTCTGGTCTCTCTCTGGTCTCTCTCTGGTCTCTTTCTGGTCTCTTTCTGGTCTCTTTCTGGTCTCTTTCTGGTCTCTCTCTGGTGTCTCTCTGGTGTCTCTCTGGTGTCTCTCTGGTCTTTCTTTGGTCTTTCTCTGGTCTCTCTCTGGTCTCTTTCTGGTGTTGACTTGACATGATATTCATATCCGCCCACTAGCACACTGGGAGGCAGGAGTGTGTGCGTGTGTGTGTGTATGCGTGCGCGTGCGTGCATGTGTGTGTGGGGGGACTGAGTCTATGGAAGAGGATTATGAGATGTATTGAGTGATCTCAAGAGTTCTACAGGAGAGAGGAGAGGAGAGACGAGAGAGAAGTGAGAAGAGAGGAGAGAGAAGAGAGAGGAGAGAGGAGAGGAGAGAGGAGAGGAGAGCGAGGAGACCAGGGTGAGAGATTTCCCCTGGTCTCGTATCTAAGATTTTGAAAGACAGCTGGTTCATCAGAGCCAGAATGTCCTCTGTTTCTGTCTGTGACAGAAGGACAGGTGTTCAGAGCCCAGAGCTAAATGTGTCGACATGACTGAGTCTGAGAGGAACCAGGAGGAGGCAGAGGACACACAAATATTCTGATTTAGTTCCTTTGTAGACCTGCTTTAGTCCTGCTTTAGACCTGGTGTAGTCCTGCTTTGGACCTGGTTTAGACTCTGCTTTAGTCCTGCTTTAGACCTGCTTTAGTCCTGCTTTAGACCTACTTTTGTCCTGCTTTAGTCCTGCTTTAGTCCTGCGTTAGACCTGCTTTAGACCTGCTTTAGACCTGCTTTAGACCTGCTTTAGACCTGCTTTAGTCCTGCTTTAGACCTGCTTTAGACCTGCTTTAGTCCTGCTTTAGACCTGCTTTAGACCTGCTTTAGACCTGCTTTAGACCTGGTTTAGACCTGGTGTAGTCCAGCTTCAGTCCTGGTCCTGGTGGTCGGCTGCAGACGGTGGTTGCCATAGAGATAGTTTCCACGGTGACGGTGCGGTCGCTGACCAGCTCCAAAATTCAACACGCAGCACTTTTAATTTGAACAGATCCATACTGAACTTATCTGGACCAGGACCAGGACAAAGACCAGGACAAGGACCAGGACAAGGACCAGGACCAGGACAAGGACAAAGACCAGGACTAGGACCAGGACAAAGACCAGCCCAAGGACAAGGACAAAGACCAGGACTAGAACCAGGACCAAGACCAGGACCAAGACCAAGACCAGGACAAGGACAATGACAAAGACCAGGACTAGGACCAGGACCAGGACTAGGATCAGGACCAAGACCAGGACCAAGACCAAGACCAGGACAAGGACAATGACAAAGACCAGGACTAGGACCAGGACCAGGACAAAGACCAGACAGGGACCAGTACTTTAACAGTGCTTTTGCCTATTCTCTCACAGACAGTCTTGAGGTCTGAGACTGAACCAGAGGAGAATCTCTGGATCTGGATCTGGATTCTCCTCCAGTTTGTGACACACACATTTCAATAATTCTCCTGTAGAAGAGTTGGCAGAGCAGAGACTTAATCCAGACCAGACTGAGCCCAAACCGAGTCTAAGAACATGAGATCCTCCAACTGAGACCCGGATTACAACAATTGTTAAACAATTTCTAAAACAGGACTAAAGAAGGACTAAAGCAGGTCTAAAGCAGGACTAAAGCAGGACTAAAGCAGGACTAAAGCAGGTCTAAAGCAGGTCTAAAGCAGGTCTAAAGGAAGTCTAAAGCAGGACTAAAACAGGACTAAAACAGGACTAAAGAACGACTGAAGCAGGACTAACACAGGACTGAAGCAGGTCTAAAGGAGGTCTAAAGCAGGAATAAAACAGGAATAAAACAGGGCTAAAGCAGATCTCTTTTTGGGCCCTGCATGTTTCATATATAACCTCATACTTGCTGAGTGTGGACTTTACGAATCTCAGCTTTAAACAATCAGACGTATTTTTTGGATACATTTACAGTTTAATGCTGTATCCTAGCAACAAAGAGAACATCTTATGATCACCTTTATTTAAAGACAACTATTGTGTCTCTGGTCTCCCTCTGGTCTCTCTCTGGTCTCCCTCTGGTCTCTCTCTGGTCTCTCTCTGGTCTCCCTCTGGTCTCCCTCTGGTCTCTCTCTGGTCTCTCTCTGGTCTCCCTCTGGTCTCTCTCTGGTCTCCCTCTGGTCTCTCTCTGGTCTCCCTCTGGTCTCCCTCTGGTCTCCCTCTGGTCTCTCTCTGGTCTCTCTCTGGTCTCCCTCTGGTCTCTCTCTGGTCTCCCTCTGGTCTCTCTCTGGTCTCTCTCTGGTCTCTCTCTGGTCTCTCTCTGGTCTCCCTCTGGTCTCCCTCTGGTCTCCCTCTGGTCTCCCTCTGGTCTCCCTCTGGTCTCTCTCTGGTCTCTCTCTGGTCTCCCTCTGGTCTCTCTCTGGTCTCCCTCTGGTCTCCCTCTGGTCTCTCTCTGGTCTCTCTCTGGTCTCTCTCTGGTCTCTCTCTGGTCTCTCTCTGGTCTCTCTCTGGTCTCTCTCTGGTCTCTCTCTGGTCTCTCTATGGTCTCTCTCTGGTCTTTCTCTGGTCTCTCTCAGGTCTCTCTCTGGTCTCTCTCTGGTCTTTCTCAGGTCTCTCTCTGGTCTCTCTCTGGTCTCGCTCTGGTCTCGCTCTGGTCTCTCTTTGATCCCTCTCTGGTCTCTCTCTGGTCTAATTGCAGCATCTTCAGTCGTAAACAACTCATTTTTTCTGAAGATAATGAGTGTGATTCAGACAGAACGGTGTGGTATCAGCCTTGCTACACTCAAACATGTCTGACTCCAACACAAAGCCCTCGAGTAATCAGTCTCCATTCACCGGCTGGGACCAGAAGCTAACCAGGAACTAACCAGGAGCTAACCAGGAACTAACCAGGAGCTAACCAGGAGCCAACCAGGAGCTAACCAGGAGCCAACCAGGAGTCAATCAAGAGCTAACCAGTAGCTAACCAGGAACTATCCAGGAGCTAACCAGGAACTATTCAGGAGCTAACCAGGAACTAACCAGGAGCTAACCAGGAGCCAACCAGGAGCCAATCAAGAGCTAACTAGTAGCTAACCAGGAACTATCCAGGAGCTAACCAGGAACTATCCAGGAGCTAACCAGGAACTAACCAGGAGCTAACCAGGAACTAACCAGGAGCTAACCAGGAGCCAACCAGGAGCTAACCAGAAGCTTATTAGGAGCAAGCACAAGACTCCAGATCAGAGCCAGAGCCTGTACACAGACGGACGATGCTAACACGCTAGCTCCATGTAGCTGCATACTGAAGGCTCTCATTGACCAGAGACCAGAAAGAGACCAGAGAGACAGACCCGAGAGAGACCCGAGAGAGACCAGAGAAACCAGAGAGAGACCAGAGAAACCAGAGAGAGACCAGAGAGAGACCAGAGAAACCAGAGAGAGACCAGAGAGAGAAACCAGAGAGAGACCAGAGAGAGAGACCAGAGGGAGAGACCAGAGAAACCAAAGAGAGACCAGAGAGACCAGAAAGTGAGCAGAGAGAGACCAGAGAAACCAGAGAAACCAGAGAGAACAGCGAGACCAGAGAGACCAGAGAAACCAGAGAGAGTGACAAGAGAGAGGGAGACCAGAGGGAAAGACCAGAGAGAGACCAGCGAGTGACCAGAGAAAGACCAGAGAGAGACCACAGAGAGACCAGAGAGAGAGAGAGACCACAACAGCTTGCTGCCAGTAAATACATTTGTGAGTCATCAAAGAGAACTCCCACACGGATCAGAACCAGCAGCAGAAACAGCACTCTCTCACATCGCACTCACATCACTCATGTCCCCAGGGTCCTCCCCCTAGTCCACCCCCCCTCCCCATCCTCTTCCCCCTGGTCCACCCTCCTCCCCCACAATACCCAGGAGCACAGCGCAGACGGGATTTTAAAAGTTTAGGGGAAAACGAGGCTTGAGGCAAAGATGCAACTTTACAAACCAAACAGCAAAAAAACATTTAACACAAAACTGATCACAAGAGACCAGAGGGAGACCACAGAGAGACCAGAGGGACACCAGAGGGAGAGCATATAGAGATGAGAGAGAGGACAGAGAGAGAGAGACACAAGAAAGAGACCAGAGAGTGACCAGAGAGACCAGAAAGAGACCAGAGTCAGACACCAGAGAGAAACCAGAAAGTGACCAGAAAGTGACCAGAGAGAGACCAGAGGGAGACCAACCAGAGAAAGAGAGACCAGAGGGAGCTGCTTGGACTTCCTTACCTTCTTGAACGGCCTGGAAAGGGTTGTTGGCTTCGATGAGTTTGATGGAGTGAGTGATCTTCTCGCTGTGGAGGATGTCGTCGCTCAGACTGAGGTCGGAGACGGCGAGCTGGAACACCTCGTCGTCCCGCACCGCGTTGTCCTCAAAGATGGCTCCTGCAGGAAGAGGCCGCTTTAGTTATTATTATGTACAGAGGCCAGAATGGAAAGAGACCAGAGAGGGACCAGAGAGGGAGACCAGAGAGGGAGACCAGAGAGGGACCAGAGAGAGACCAGAGAGGGACCAGAGGGAGACCAGATAGGGACCAGAGACAGACCAGAGAGAGACCAGAGAGAGATCAGAGAGCGACCAGAGACAGACCAGAGAGAGACCAAAGGGAGAGACAAGAGAGACCAGAGTGAGAGACCTCATTGAGAGACCTCATTGAGAGACCAGAGAGAGACCAGAGAGAGAGACCAAAGAGAGAGACAAGAAAGAGACCAAAGACCAGAGACCAGAGAGAGACCAGAGAGAACCCAGAGAGAACCCAGAGAGAGAGACCAGAGAGAGAGACCAGAGAGAGAGACCAGAGAGAGAGACCTGATAGACCGGACAGAGGCCAGAGAGGACATGCCATAGTTGCCCATATCAACCTCTCACTATCAAGTTTTGAAAAAAATCCCACTTCCCCCTCTGGCACCATCGCACCCCATGGTGTCTGTGTACCCCAAGCCCTGGCGATTCACGATGGCGCCCTATTCAAATGAATGGTTGTGCTCAGTGGCGCTTTGTGACGGCATGGGGGCTGAAAGATTAGCGGAAGTCGCCTGGAACTCGCAAAGATCTATGGGAAACTCGCAAAGATCTATGGGAAACTCGCCTGTATTTGGGCATCGTCTGGTCCTCCCGGTTCTGCGCAGTGGATCATCTCCCATAATGCGTTGCGCCAAACACGCGTGTGTGGGTCTCACACCGGGTCTCACGCACGTGCACAGAGGGGCTCGGCTGCGCTCTGACCAATCAGAGCAGTTCATCAGAGCGGGAGTCAGAGCGAGAGCCAGACGAGCAGAGTTTGTGGCACTAAAGTGTGGATTTAAAGAAAACCGAAGGATTTAAGAAGAAAAAAAGTTCAGGATTACAAGGGATACTAAAATCCCCACAAAATACGACCTTTATGAAAGCTGTAGGTTCTCTGTCAGCTGAGGTTGAGCTGTTTTAATTTACATTGAGTTCTATGGGGAAAATTTTTGGGGAGAATCCCCCGAGCACATGGGTTATTCAGCTACAAGCTAGTAATACCCATCCATCCATCCATCCATTTTCTTCCGCTTTATCCGTTGCCGGGTCGCGGGGGCAGCAGTCTAAGCAGAGACGCCCAGACTTCCCTATCCACACACACCTCCTCCAGCTCGTCCGGGGGGACCCCAAGGCGTTCCCAGGCCAGCTGAGACATAGTCTCTCCAGCGTGTCCTGGGTCTTCCCCGGGGCCTCCTCCCGGTGGGACGTGCCCGGAACACCTCCCCAGGGAGGCGTCCAGGAGGCATCCTGAACAGATGCCCGAGCCACCTCAACTGGTTCCTCTCGACGTGGAGAAGCAGCAGCTCTACTCCGAGCTCCTCCCGTGTGACTGAGCTCCTCACCCTATCTCTAAGGGAGCGCCCAGCCACTCTGCGGAGGAAGCTCATTTCGACCGCTTGTATCCGTGATCTCGTTCTTTCGGTCATTACCCACAGCTCATGACCATAGGTGAGGGAGGGAACGAAGATTGACCGGTAAATCGAGAGCTTCGCCTTTCGGCTCAGCTCCCTCTTTACCACAACGGTCCAATACAGAGACTGCATCACTGCGCACGCTGCACCGATCCGCCTGTCAATCTCACGCTCCATCCTCCCCTCACTCGTGAACAAGACCCCGAGAAGTGAGGTGACGTTCCACGTCCCAAGAGCCAGATGTTGGGTGTGTGGACTGGGTCGTTGAGGTCTCCGCCTTGGACTGCTGCCCAGTCCTCTCTGCACCTCGCCACCACGGACCCCTCTGCAGGTGGTGGGCCCACAGGAGGGACTGCCCACGTCATCCCTTCGGGCTAAGGCCCAGCCACCAGGCGCTCGCTTGCGAGCCCCGACCCCAGGCCTAGCTCCAGGGTGGGGCCCCGGCTGCGCCATGCCGGGCGACGTCACGGTTCTCATTGTTGTGCTGTCCATGGTTGGCTTCGGACCGCGCTTCGTCTGACTCGTCACTTGAGACCTGTCTGCCATGGGAGACCCTACCAGGGGCATGAAGCCCCAGACAGCTTAGCTCCCAGGATCATCCGAGTGCTCCCCCACCACGTTAAGGTGGCAGTCCAAGGGGGAGTAATACCCCATCCAGTTATTATAATAGATCCATGGTGTACCCCTGTTTGAGAAACAAGTTGGCTATAATGTTTTGTTGTTTTTGTCACAGTAGCACTTTGAGATTTGATGTTCAAATGTTAAGTGCAATACAAATAAAATTATCATTAATGAAGAAAAAGAGGAAATATTTCTCCACTTCTAACCTATAGTACAATCATTGTCATAGTAGAAATCTGTGATTATCATTATGTCCTTTGTTCTCAAAAACTGTTACCGCGGAGACACAGCGACATCACAGCTCTGCAGACACGTTAGCTTAATTACGGAGTTGCTAATACAGACTAATTAGCAGCTTTCACACTCGGAATGAAGATCCTACAGCTGCTCCAGAGCTGACTCAGCTTTGCATTGTGTGTCCTCACTCTGGTCTCTCTCTCTCTCTGGTCTCTCTCTGGTCTCTCTCTGGTCTCTCTCTGGTCTCTCTCTGGTCTCTCTCTGGTCTCTCTCTGGTCTCTCTCTGGCCTCTCTCTGGTCTCTCTCTGGTCTCTCTCTGGTCTCTCTCTGGTCTCTCTCTGGCCTCTCTCTGGCCTCTCTCTGGCCTGTCTCTGGTCTCTCACTCTGCTGTCTCTCTTTCTCCCTCTCTGGTCTTGGTCTTTCTCTGTCTCTGGCCTCTCTCTGGTCTTTCTCTGGTCTCTCTCTCTCTGGTCTCTCTCTGGTCTCTCTCTGGCCTCTCTCTGGCCTGTCTCTGGTCTCTCACTCTGCTGTCTCTCTTTCTCCCTCTCTGGTCTTGGTCTTTCTCTGTCTCTGGCCTCTCTCTGGTCTTTCTCTGGTCTCTCTCTCTCTGGTCTCTCTCTGGTCTCTCACTTTGGCCTCTATCTTTGCTCTCTCTCTCTGGTCTCTCTTTCTGGTCTCTCTGGATCTACAGCCTCAGTCCTGAATCCTATGTGTTTGTTATGACTACATTTCCTGTGTTAGAACTGTCTGATTCTCTGATCTGTTATTGGTGAATCTACAACTTTGTAAAGTCCTCAGAAACCACTGCTGTGGTTTAGAGCGAGCCACAAATACACTGAGTTGAGTTTAAGGTCGTGGTATTTGAATAAGAGCCACAAGGATCAGACGCTCTTTAAAACAAATACAACGTCACAGAGACTCAGAGAGAGACCAGAGGAACCCGGAGACCAGAGGGAGACTAGAGAGAGACCAGATAGAGAGACCAGAGTAAGATCAGAGAGACCAGGAAGAGAGACCAGAAAGAGACCAGAGAGTCTCCTGGACTTTCCTGGTCTCTCCTGATCTCCCTCTGGTCTCTACTGGTCTCCTAACCTAATAATGTGTTTTATAATGTAACTGAGTCAGAGGAGATTTATGAGCTGCAGGATTACAAGCGACTATAGTCCCCGGGGGGTCTGGGATTAAACCACCGCTGTGGGGGGGAAGAGGGGGAGAGAGGGGGAGGAGGGAGAGAGAGTGAAGGAAGTGGAGAGAGGAGATACAGTAGGTGAGAAGAGAGGGGGAAAAGAGAGGAGGAGAGAAGGCTCTCCTCTTTCTCCTCTCTCTTGTGTGTGTTTGTGTTTGTATCAGTACAAGCGAAAGGGCGAAAGTCGAGTGTCACTCTGATAATCCTCCAGAGGAGCTGTGTCATCTGTCTACAAACAAAGTCAGGAAGGAAAAAAGACCTGCTGATGGCTCATTTGATCACAGCTCTGAGCGCAGAGAAACAGAGACTGAAGAAAAAATGCTTTAGACCTGCTTTAGTCCTGCTTTAGACCTGCTTTAGGTCTGCTTTATTCCTGCCCTAGACCTGCTTTAGTCCTGCTTTAGGTCTGCTTTAGTCCTGCTTTAGACCTGCTTTAGTCCTGCTTTAGACCTGCTTTAGACCTGCTTTAGACCTGACCTGCTTTAGACCTGCTTTAGGTCTGCTTTAGTCCTGCCCTAGACCTGCTTTAGACCTGCTTTAGACCTGCTTTAGACCTGCTTTAGGTCTGCTTTAGTCCTGCTTTAGACCTGCTTTAGACCTGCTTTAGACCTTCTTTAGGTCTGCTTTAGTCGTTGCCGATTAACTCAAAGATCATTTGGCTCAGACTCAGACTCACAGATCTCTCTGGCACCGACCTCAGCCTCGTTTAGAACTGCATTAAAGCTGAGGTACCTAATTTTAAAACCACTCAAATTTGAACAATGTACTAAAATCCATGTCACCAGTTCTGGCTGTGCAGCTGGTAGTTCGAGTTCTAGTCCTGGTCTTTCTCTTTCTCTGGTATTGGTCCATGGCCTCGATCTCGGTTCTGGTCCTGGTCTAGTTTCACATGCATGTATTATTGTTCTCTGTCATTATCTTTAGACCAGAGAGAGAGAACCGAGAGAGACCAGAGAGAGAGACCAGAGAGACCAGAGAGAGAGAGACCACAGAGAGACCAGAGAAAGTCAGAGAGAGACCAGAGAGAGACCAGAGAGACACCAAAGAGAGACCAGAGAGAGAGACCAGAGAAAGTCAGAGAGAGACCAGAGAGACACCAAAGAGAGACCAGAGAGAGACCACAGAGAAACCAGATCCAGGTGTGTGCATGGTGTGGGTGTGAGACATTTTGCCTCAGATGAATGAGACCAGGAGTGCACAGAGATTTCCCGTCGGCGTGAAGACAGACGGAGGTATCTCTCTTTCCTTTTGTCATCTCTGCTTCAGCTCTGATTAGAATTACACTCACGTCTCACGGAGGATTCAGCGACAACGGGGGGAGGAGGTGGAAGGGGAGGAGGGGGCGTGTTATTTAACTCATAACACACCTGCACGGAAAGAACTCAACACATGCTGAAACAGACTAATTCTTTCCCTGTGTTTTCAAAGCCGTCAGACGCACTGCTCTTTCCTTTATAAAGTTGTCTTTGTGCAAAATATGTTGGAAAGTTGCTCTCTGGTCTCTCTCTGGTCTCTCTCTCTGATCTCTCTCTGATTTCTCTCTGGTCTCTCCCTGGTCTCTCTCTGGTCTCTCTTTGGTCTCTCTCTCTGATCTCTCTCTGGTCTCTCCCTGGTCTCTCTCTGGTCTCTCTCTGGTCTCTCTTTGGTCTCTCTCTCTCTCTGGTCTCTCTTTGGTCTCTCTCTCTCTGGTCTCTCTTACTGGTCTCTATCTGGCCTTGTTCTGGTCTCTGTCTGGTTTCGCCCTGGTCTCTCTCACTGGAGCCATCTACTTTGAGATTTTGGGTAATAATAAAAACATCTTCCATCAGTGATAGCAAGGAAAACATGACACTCGGCCTGGTCCACAACAGAGGACACACTCTAGACCTGGGGTCTGTAACTTTAGGGCTGGGGTCTGCCACGTTAAAGCTGTGTTCTGCCACTTTAAAGCTGGGACGTGCCATTTTAAAGCCAGGGTCTGTGATTCTAAAGCTGGGGTCTGTGACTTTAAAGCTGGGGTCTGTCCCTTCAAACCTGGGGTCTTTCAAACCAGCAGAACTCTGTCATGTCTCTGGATCAGGACGACCACCACCTCAGCCAATCAGTTCTCAGCCTAGAGAGTCAGATAGCGACTCAAAGGGATCTTTATTACACAGAAGATACTCTCTGAAGTATTAACAAAGGGTTACGCTAAACACTGAAAGTTTAACCCATTCCCCTTTACAAACCAACTGGAGCTCTGTCAGAATAGATGGAGGGACCGGAGAGAGAAAAACAGAAACCAGAGAGAGACCAGAAAGATCAGAAAGAGAAGAGTGGAAGACCAGAGAGAGAGAGATCCGACAGAGACCAGAGAAAGATCCGACAGAGACCAGAGAGAGATCCAGCAGTCAGGGAGAGATCCAGCAGAGTCCAGAGAGAGATCCAACAGAGACCAGAGAGAGACCAAAGAGAGAGACCAGAGAGAGTCCAGAGAGAGACTAGAGAGAGACTAGAGAGACCAGAGAGAGACTAGAGAGAGACCAGAGAAACCAGAGTCCAGAGAGGCACAGTTGCATTACAATGAAGCATCTTTTGAAGCAAACTTTTGCCGCGACGTCAGCTTCTGTGCAGCTTCAAAACGCGTCTAAAACGCGTCTAAAACGCGGTGCGCCTCTGCAGTTCGCCCGCGGCGTCTGACTTGATGAATGTGCAGTTTCCTGAAGAACAGAACACTTCAAACAAACGTGTTTCTCACCGATGTGGATGATGGAGTCTGCGCGCACGCTCAGCTCCCAGACCCACGTCCACACGAGCACGAGCAGCCACCCGCGGCGCTCCATCCCCGGGACACGGACTGCGCATCCGCCGGTCCACGGTCCGCTACGGTCCACACGATTCTCACGGTCCACGGAGGCTGAAATACATCCAAAAGAGGACAGTAATCCCGGAGCTCCAGGCGTCGACAGAGGCAGGACCAGAGCCGTGAGGAGAGCGAGTCTCCGGGGGTGAGGAGAGAGGAGGAGAGGAGAAGAGGAGGAGAAGAGAGGGGAGGCTGAGGCTGGTCCGAGAGTGTGGGACGTGAGGATGCGGTGAAGGAGAGTGTTTATGTAGACTCAGAGCTGCAATCTCAAGACCCGCAGCCTCAGGACCCAGTGAGCTGCAGCCTCAGGACCCAGGACCTAATTCACTGCCTTGGGGTGTTCAGCTCGGTCCTCAAAGCGCCTTGTGGCTGCAGGTGTTCATTCCAACAAAGCAGGAGCACACAGACTCCACCCATTTCCTCATGTGTTGCTGTGTTTAGACCATAGACTGTAAATATTAACAGAAATAGTAACACTATATCTGCTGTTGAAACTAATGTGCCATCAATGCTGCCTTCCATGGGTTAGGGTTAGGGTTAGGGTTATGGCTTTTTCAAAATGGCCGCAGGCAGACCCTCCGCAGAAAAAAGTAAAAAAACACATTTGCTCATGCGTTATCCAGCACCAGTCCCATTAATTTAACCAGCGGAGACACTACAACGCAATTAGCAAATACGACCAGTCTCCTTAAGCGAAGTGCACAGCATGTACGCCACAACGGAAACGATTGTAGTTCAAGCACCCGCTCATTAGTGGGCAGTTGAACTTTATAACACGACAAACGCGTGACCCCCAGCATTATATTCCCTTCCTCATCATCCTCCTCAGGTTGCAGCAAAGACGTGACAGAACCGACATCATCCTGCATTTAGCAGCAGCTGCGAAAATGGAAACTGAAACTACAGATTTTGGTGGTTTTGTTTGGACGAAAGAAGGAGTAGAATTCTCCTCGGTGTAGCGCCCAAAGCACACGTAGCATTAGTTGATGTGCCGTCATTGTTGTTCACGTTTGTTCTCGGCTACTGTGCATGTCCAAATGTACGTGAGGGGAAGTGGTGAGGTCAGAGCAGCAGATAATTCACACTTTTTTCTTTCTCAAAGCTTGCGTTTTCACCTGAAACTCCATCTTCATGTGAACAGAAGGCCAACACCACCTAAGGCAGGAGTGTCAAAGTGGTCCTCAGGGCAGGTGTGGCTGGAGTTGTTAGTAGCAGACTCCTCCCACTTCCTCAAAGTCTCACTGTGGGGGGCGATCATGAGCCCAGACCACAAAGCCGCCTTCCTGTCCTTCCTCTGCTGAGGGCAGACACAGGTTTGTCTGAACATAAATGCATTTAAAATCTGTGTTGTGGCCAAATGTGGATATGAAGGAAGGAGGAAATGAAGGAGATGAAGGCACCCTAGAGTGGGCTGCAGACAAGAGTTAGTCAGACTGAGACCTGGACCTGAAGTTAGACTGAGACCTGGACCTGAAGTCAGAATGAGACCTGGACCTGAAGTCAGACTGAGACCTGGACCTGAAGTCAGACTGAGACCTGGACCTGAAGTCAGAATGAGACCTGGACCTGAAGTCAGAATGAGACCTGGACCTGAAGTCAGAATGAGACCTGGACCTGAAGTCAGACTGAGACCTGCAGTGGGCTGGCATTGCGAGTTGTGGATTGATCTTTGTCTACTTCTTTCTCTTTTCTATCATCTATCTATCTCTTCCCCTCTTTCTCTCTCTCCTATCTCTATCTATCTCTGCTCTCACTCTCTCAGACCTCTTGATGCAGCTCCAGCCATTTAGATTTCAGCCTCATTCTTACCATGTGACTGCTGAGCCTGTATGTAGGAACAGAGAAAGGACAGGGGAGAGAGGAGAGAGAGGAGAGGAGAGAGAGGAGAAAGAGAGAGAGGAGGGTGAGAAAGGAGAGAGAAGAGAGACAGAGTAGGGAGAGAGAGGAACAAGGAGGGAGAGAGAGGAGGGAGAGGACTGGAGACATCGCTGGGTAAGTTATCTTATCATTATCTTCATCTTTTGTGTTAAATAGATCCCTGTGAGTCAGTATCTGCCTCTTTGGGCTGATAACTGATTGGCTGGGGGAGGGTGGTCCTCTCTTTGATCTAAAGATGTGACAGAGACAGAAATTAATGATATGAAACTAGTGACAGAAGCATTTTTATTTAGATCTACTGTGATCTCTGTTGCTGGACGCCGCCCAGTCTTGTTTGCTATATAAATGCATTTCCTCTCTGCGACTCGTCTCGTTCTCTGTAAACATGTTTTTGTTCATTTTTTCAGGCATCGAAGCCACAGCTGTTTGCTCCGCACTCGACTTTACAATTAAAGGATATTTCTGTAAAAGTCTCGGACGTGTGCTTTAATTGTTGGGTCGTGTGGAGTTTGTCTTCAAGAGTATTGGACCAGAGCTGATAACATCTGATGGATCTCTCTCTGCATCTCTCTGGTCTATCTCTGGTCTCTCTCTCTTGTCTATCTCTGGTCTCTCTCCCTCTTGTCTATCTGGTCTCTCTTGCGTCTCTCTCTGTTCTCTTTCTTGTCTATCTCTGGTCTATCTCTGGTCTCTCTTTGGTCTCTCTCTCTCTGGTCTCTCTTGGTCTCTCTCCCTTTTCTATCTCTGGTTTCTCTTGGGTCTCTCTTTGGTCTCTCTGGTCTCTCTCTTGCGACTATCTCTGCTCTATCTCTGGTCTATCTCTGCTCTCTATCTGGTCTCTCTCTCTTGTCTATCTCTGGTCTCTCTCCCTCTTGTCTATCTGGTCTCTCTTGCGTCTCTCTCTGTTCTCTTTCTTGTCTATCTCTGGTCTATCTCTGGTCTCTCTTTGGTCTCTCTCTCTCTGGTCTCTCTTGGTCTCTCTCCCTTTTCTATCTCTGGTTTCTCTTGGGTCTATCTCTGCTCTCTATCTGGTCTCTCTCTCTTGTCTATCTCTGGTCTCTCTTGGGTCTCTCTCTGGTTTCGCTCTGGTCTCTATTAATAGTCTCGCTTCAGATCTATTGTTAGCTCTGGTTGAGGCGCTGCCTTTGTGCCTTTGAGCCTGTGTGTGAGTGACAGGCTGCTAAAGTAAGAACGTTGCTTTTTATTAGAAACAGACGAAAGAAAAGAGTCCAATCCAAGCACCTTCTGTCCAAGCTCACACTAGAGCCGCTGCTCACATGTAGGGTATACAACACAAATGTATATGTATGTGCATATTGTGAATATATAGACATTTCTGGATTGGAGTCGTGTGACCCAAAGGGGGCGTGGCTGGGGGCCGTATGATGTTTTGATACTGTATTGGAAGTATTGGTTGGTGAGCGATGGGGAAAACGGACACAGGAGGTTTTCATGTTGATATAACTGTTATTTTGAGTGAAAACAATTTCAAACACAGCGTACACCGTGTGGAGTTTGAATGAGTTCAATATTTTCAACAAGAGGATTACGGCTGATGTATTCACTCTGGGGTCAACCATAGTTATTATCGGACGTAGTCATGCCTATCCCCGGAAAATGTGAAAATAACGCATTTGCGCATGCATTTGCTGGCACTAGCTCCATTCATTGAGCGAGTGCCTTCCAAAGTCCACAGTGGCTAAACAAGACTGGTCCAAAAAAATATACTCCCCTCAGCATATAGACAGATGTGGAACGTAGCTTTGGGCCTTGAGCGACTTTTGGACCATACTTTAAACCCAATTTTCAGAGGAAAGAAGACGTCATACAAAAGCATTGAGTAATTCTTATTCCGGTCCACCCCCACCAGCCCAGAGTGAGATTGCAAGCCTGTCAGCGCCCGTGCTCATGAGACCAAGAGAGAGAAGACCCAGGACTCAGAGAGATGCCCCGAAAGAGGACCCAGAGAGAGAGGACCCAGGACCCAACGAGAGAGGCCCCCTTGTTCTGTTTCATTTCAGGCCTCAGTTTGCGGATAAAGGAGAAGGTGCTGTGTGTTAGCGTTCAGACCGCAGACGCTGGAACGCAGCTTACGCACTAGCATTAGACGCACTAGCACTAGACGCACATTCTCTAAATTTCAGTCGTCAGTGGCGCCCGCCGGTAGTGGCGGAAGTAGCAGGCGGACTTTGATGCTAACAGAATTAAGCTATAGCGGCTTTTTGTGTAAAGTTCTTCTTCTCCAGGAATGCAGCTCTGCAGCGTCTCTGTGCCCAGAGACTTTCCAGAGACTTTATATAACAGCAGTATGCGCCATAAGTTTATTTTATTATTAAACGCTACTTCCGCATCGGCGAACACGCTTGAAGCAGTTGTATGCAGTCACGGGAGAATGAGAACGCATATGTTCACAAGCCGTGTGTCCCCATTGTCAATCCTGGTTTTTGGCTGTTTACGAGTATTTCCAGTCTGCTCGCTAGACGGCTAATGTCCCACTTTGCGGCTCTCTGATTGGTCGCTGCACGTGCCTCCCGAGGAAAAAGTTCAGCAATGTTTATCTCCTGCGTGTGTCAATTTTCCGCTCCTGCGCCTCTGCTGCGTCTCTACCTCGCAGTCTGTGTGTGCGTCCTGAGACGCACATGCAGTTCCGTTCTCGAACGCACGTCACCATTGACTTTGCATTGAAAGTTGTTGCAAGGCATGATCCGGTCTGAACGCCCCATGACACTTTCAGACCAGTCCGCCTGCAGTGCTTTACCATGGACGACAGACCATGTACCTGCAGCACAGTGTAGATTCCATGGTCAATGCCCTGTTTCTCGCACTTTCAAGTCTGGGTGTGTCTGCAGGTGGATGTAAATTGGTGCTAGGAAGTGTGATTATTTTGTTATGAAATAGTCTCCGGGTATAATACATACAATGGTCACTTACTGTGGAGCAAAAATAGTTTTTCCATAAAATTATGAGAAAGGTCCGTAAAGTTTATGTTTCTGCCAATTGAATATTTACAGTCGATGATTGAAACTCACACGTTATATGTTGGTGCACAGCGCCCCCCTCAGGCCACGAGTTGCTATTTCGTGTGACAACGCAGAGCTGTTCACATGTGAACATGTGTAAAGCCTTTCCTTGGACATCAGGGTGGTGTGTTATTATTATTGATCCATGGTGTGAATATGTCTGATGTTTGGAGTGTAATGGTATGTGTTTGAACTGTTCTGAGCTAAGAGATATCATTATAGGGCCATGGCTAGAGCCTCTTAGCATAAATATAAATAATAAACAAACATTGTTTTAATGTGTGTGCTCCGTTTTATGCAGTACTAATGCAGAACTGCGTTCCAAACAAATAGCCACAAAATAATACAAAATGTATATTTAATATAATGATATATAAATCATAAATCATATCATAAATATACATTTTAAGTTGGTACCCGTTTTATATTATCAGTAGTGTTGGTGTTAATGCCATAGACTGTAAATATTAAAACACACTTCATTGTAATTCCCCAAACCTCCGCTAGCTTAAAACAATTAGCATCGAAAACTTTAGAGCTAACATTTACAATACAGCTGTAAATTAGCAACCTAAAGGACACAATCGGCCTAAACTGTCCCCCTAGAAACTAAACAATGTTCTATGTCCCTGCATTATTATTTTACTGACCCACTTTACCTGCAAAACAATGAACATTGTCTTAAAGTGCGTGTCTGCTGCATTTTCTGCAGCTGGAGTGGCGCCGCCTTGTGGTCGAGAGCAGGGAATACACTAATGCAATCTAACACGTTTTTACCACATTTATGACTTTTACCTTAAAATAATGATATGAAATGAAAACAATTCATCTATAATAAAGAGTCTAATATCCACTATGCCCACACATGTTATTAGCCTGTGATAATGGAAACACATCCACAGAAAGAGACACATTCACAAAAAGAGACCATCGTCCTCTTTCTGTGAAACTGAAGCACACTTTAGTTTCACAGAAAGAAGATGATGGTTGAAGATCATGTTCTTCAATAAATTGTTAAAAAAGGAGCCGTTATCTCGCTGTGTGGCCGTGCAGACAGGAGTGGCCAGGTTATTATCATGGAAACAAGATGTAGGTCTCTCACATCACTTTGTTCAATTGTTAAACTGTTCTTTTGTACAGAATAGTTCAGAAAATCCACATTTGGCCAGAAACATAAGTGTAACTAATACTTTGTAATGTAACCTTGTTGGCAGTGTTTCCTTATTCCCCGGGTCTCAGGTCTCTCTCTGGTCACTCTCTGGTCTACACTCTCTGTGGTCTCTGTCTCTGGTCTATTTCTGGTCTCATGAAATGTTGCTGAAAATTCAGATCAAAACCATATATAGATGGGACCATATAGGTCTCCACCAGGAGCAGATACATCTCTCTGCCCCTGCCTCAGTAGCAACACAAACTGAAACAAGTCTGCTCGCTAGACCGCTAATGGAGAAGAGAGAGGAGATAGAGGAGAGAGAGGAGAGAGGAGAAACTACAGGCTGAATGGGGATCAGGAGCGTTTTGAGGTGTTTTGAGGATAATATGAATTAAATGCATTGTTTATTTACAGTGTTGCATGTTTGCACATTTGTGGTCTGAAAGTGATGTTATGTTTTTAAATTGTTTCTTCTACAAGATGTAATGTGAATAAATGACCTGTTTTAATGAACAAATAAGATAAGATAAGATAAACCTTTATTAGTCTCACAGTGGAGACATTTCAGTGTCATCGTTGCGCACATTGCAGCAGAGAGAGGAAATAAGAGCACGATTGCACACATCAAAGTCTATTATTTAAGATAATAGATAATAAAATTAAGATAAGAAAAAAATAAAATGAGATAAACTCTGGGCTATAATTGCACTTGGTTCGGAAGTATTTACAGATGTCTATATTATACATTAGCCGCAGAGAATAAGAGAATATGAATATGAGCAGAATAAACATCAGAAATAATATCAACAGGTAAAGTGACTGGTGAAAGGCAGAAATATCAGATATGTAATAATGTAGTAGTACTGATAACAGGTAAAGTGACAACGTGGCAAAGTTACTAGTGAAATATCAGTGACTGATTAGCAGTTCCTGTTACACATTCTCGTTGTACATTCTGACAGCAGGAAGGAAAGACCTACGGAACCTCTCCTTCACACAGCGAGGGTGAATTAGTCTGTCACTGAAGCTGCTCTCCAGAGCAGAGAGTGTGCCCTGCAGGGGGCGACAGTCATGGTCCAGCATAGATGTTAGTTTGCTCAGGACCCTCCTGTCCCCCGCCTGCTGCACTGTGTCCAGGGAACAGCCCAGGACTGAGCTGGACTTCCTGGTGACCTTGTCCAGCTTCTTCCTGTCCCTCTCTGTGATGCTGCTGCCCCAGCAGACCACACCGTTCAAGATGGCTGGGTGAAGAGGAACGGTGCGAGGACAGTCCCCTGGGGGGCCCCCACACTGCAGGTCAGGACTTCAGACACCTCAGACAAGGTCTGTTAAAGTCTGTTCTCTCCTTTCTGAAAGATCTCACAGACCGAAAACAGTTGGTAGAGATTAAAAACATAAAATCAGCACCATCACCACGGTGTACTACTACTTGTCCACAAAACATGATTCAACCTGCCTTACTTCCATCACTGACTCTCTGCAGGATATCACAACTTGGATGACAATTAACAAACTCAAACTTAACTGAAATAAAAGTGACATCCCCATCCCTCAGTGTTTGCATTGACAGCTGCCTGGTTCTCATGTCTTCATACTTAAAAAGTTAAGCACTGGACTCCACTCTTACGGCTCACATCAATAATACCATTCAAACAGCCTTTTCCACCCAACTGTCTCCCCCATACCCGCACAGGACCCAGTTTAAACTCCTCCTTCTCACTTTCAATGCTCTCCATAACCCGGCCTCCTCTCTACTCCCATCCCGTTCTCTCTGATCCTCCTCTGCTGCTCCTCCTGTGCTGCACCTCCTCTGCTGCTCTCCTCACTGTCTCCACCGTAACAATGGCCACTATGCAGACCCCAAACTGTGGAACACTCTCCCACTTGACCTGCAACAGATGGACTTTCTGGGCATCTTCAAATCACATCAAAACCTTTTTAAGTAATCTTAATTCATATACCGCCTTCCACAGACCACAGTCTCAAAGCGGTTTACAATTGTGGGCATTTTTCCTCTCACTCCACACAGAGATAGGAGCAGGGTCGCCAGTACAAGAGGCGCATGCCAGACCTATTGTACATGTTTTTAGTGGTAGGGGAAAGCGGAGTACCCGGAGGAAACCTACGCAGACCCGGGGAGAACATGCAAACTCCACTCAGAAAGGCCCTGTTCCAACCAGGATTCGCACCTAGGACCTTCTTACTGAGAAGCAAGAGTGCTATCCACTCAGTCACCGTGCCGCCCGGTGGCTGAGTTTTTAAACTGGATTATTCTTTGTTATTTTAAAATGCATTATAATCTGTACTTTTAATATTGTGTGCGATGTTTTAAATATTCTGTGAGGCGTCCTTTGGTGTTTTGAAAGACACTATTGAATACAGTTTGTCATATTATTATTTCTCCCCACTCTATCCTCTCTCTCCTTTCAACCTCCTCTCTCTCATCCCCCTCCTCTCTCTCCTTTCTCTCATCTCTCCTCTTCTGTTTTTGTCTCTTTAGTCTTTTGTTTTCCTTTTGATCTCTGGAGCTGCAGCTTCGATGAGGCGTTTCATTGGGTTTAACAAAGCAAAGCCAGCAACTGTCACAGAGAGACCATAGAGAGACCAGAGAGCGACCAGAGAGACCACAGAGGGAGACCATGAGAGAGACCAGAAAGCGACCAGAGAGACCACAGAGGGAGACCATAGAGAGAGACCAGAGAGCGACCAGAGAGCGACCAGAGAGACCACAGAGGGAGACCATAGAGAGAGACCAGAGAGCGACCAGAGAGACCACAGAGGGAGACCATAGAGAGCGACCAGAGAGACCACAGAGGGAGACCATAGAGAGAGACCAGAGAGCGACCAGAGAGACCACAGAGGGAGACCATAGAGAGAGACCAGAGAGCGACCAGAGAGACCACAGAGGGAGACCATAGAGAGAGACCAGAGAGAGACTAGGGAGACCAGAGAGAGAGACCGGAGAGAGAGACCAAGAGAAAGACCAGAGAGAGACCAAGAGAGAGACCAGAGATAGACCAAGAGAGAGACCAGAGAGAGACCAGAGAGGGGAACCAGAGAGAGAGACAGGAGAGAGGCGAGAAAAGTTTTGCATCTCAGCCAGTAAAACAGCCTGTGGTGCAACAAACACACACACACACAAACTCAATTTCTGGCACAAAACTCACCGTAAAATCGCATTAAAACCATGCGAGCCATTTATCTGTCATCAGGGAGAGATGAGCCAAGACCAGAACCAAAAGGGGAGATCAGATGCAACATGTCCCTCCTCAGCTCCTGTCTGTGCTGCTGTGAGTCACTATCTGCCTCTTTGGGCTGAGAGCTGGTTGGCTGAGGGAGGGTGGTCCTCTCTGTGAGCTAAAGATGTGACATCACAAATACATGAAACTGTTTTAGAGCCAGAGACATGGGCTTAGATCTAGTTCTATTGGTTTAGATTATGGACAGCAGAAGTAAGACAGATAAAGTCTTTTTGGTGTATAATCTGTGACTCTGGAGCAGACCCGTGCCGTGTCCCCGTGTGCGTCCTTTAGGAGCGCAGTGACGCGAGGCTAATCCTGTTTTGATGAAGTCGGTGAATGCGCCCCCCGCAGAGACCCTCATGTCCTCCATGTGTCCCCCCTTGTCCCACCCGCCACACGACCGCTCCACTCCCACTCTTACGCGCTATTTAACCCGCGGAGCAGAGGGACGAGGGACCACACACGTCCACAGACGCGGAGAAGATGCCCCAGAGCTGGAGCCTGAGGTCGGGGCTGGAGAGCAGAGAGGCCGCGGAGGAAAGGACTAAAGCGGGCTTCGAGAGCAGAGGACCCCCGCTGCTGCAGCTGCGGCTGGAGGCTGCGTCTCTGCACATCTGCACCGTACGTGACTTTACCTTCACTCTGAGGAGAGAGAGTGACGAGGGGAGAGAGGGGGGAGAGGGAAGATAGGGGAGGAGAGCAGAGAGGGGAGGAGAGGAGGAGAGATAGAGAAGAGAGGAAAGAGAGGAGAGAGGGGAGATAAAAGAGAGAGGAGAGGAGGAGAGAGGGGAGGGAAGAGATGGGGAGGAGAGGGGTGCATGGTGAGGAGAGAGAGAGAGAGGGGAAAGAGAGAAGAGAGGTGAGAGGGGGAGGACAGGAGGAGAGATAGAGAAGAGAGGAGAGAGGGGAGGATAGGAGAGAACGAAGAGAGGGGGGAGAAGAGAGGGGTATAGAGGAGAGAGAGGAGTGGAGGGCTGGTGAGGAGAGAGGGGAGAGAAAAGAGGTGAGAGGGAAGAGAGGAGAGAGGGGGAGGACAGGAGGAGAGATAGAGATGAGAGGAAAGAGGGGAGAAAGGGAAGAAAGGTGTGAGAGGAGGAGAGAGAGGAAAGAGGGGAGAGAGAGGGGAGAGATGAGAGAGGGAAGGGTTAGAGGATGAGAGGGGAGAGAGGGGGAAGAGCGTGGACAGGAGGGAGGGGAGTGAGAGGAAAGAGAAGAGAGAGGAGGGAAAGACGGGTGAGAGAGGGGGGAGAAAGGGGGAGAGGAGGAGAGAGATGCTCCTTCTTTTGTCTCTGTCTTCTCAGTCTCGTGTCTCTGTCCTCAGTCGGTGGAGCGCGCGCAGAGACGGCGCAGACTAGCCGCTAACGCGCGCGAGCGGCGGCGCATGCTCGGTCTGAACGTGGCCTTCGACCGACTGCGCAGCGTCATCCCGCAGCTGCGCAGTCAGAAGAAACTCTCCAAGAGCGAAACCCTCCAGATGGCCCAGATCTACATCAGTACTTTGAGAGAGCTACTGAGACCAGAGAGACCAGAGAGACTAGAGAGACTAGAGACACAATTGGAGAGACCAGGGGAGAGACCAGAGAGACCAAGGGAGAGAGAGGAGGCCAGGGGAGAGACCAGAGGAGAGAGAGGAGAGACCCCCCAGATCTACATCAGTACTCTGAGAGAGGTATACAGAGACCAAGGGAGAGACCAGGGGACCGGCCCAGACCTCAGTCTAGCGCTCAAGTGAAAAAACGTCTGAAATCTCAACATTGAACTGAAATGATTCCATCCGCATCACTCTGAGCTCCGCCCCTGTGTGGGATGTCATCATGGTCACTTTTGTGTTTGTCACATGATGGTTCTCTGCTGTGACTGACGGAGCGAGAAGACTGAGATCACAGACTGTTTACAGATGGTCAGCACTAGATCATATACGGAATCTGGACGGAAGCGGAAGTAAATATAACCAACTACATATTCATGCCTAAACTTAGCCATTCCCAAAGAATAACCCTAACCCACCCTTGACCCTGACCTTAGCCATCAGACACCTAAAACTTAACCAGTCACCACGTATTAGACTTATTAGTCTAAAACTAATTCAAAAGTGGGATTTTTACTTCCGCTATTGTCCCAATTCCGTATATGATCTAGTGCCAACGGTTTACAGATGGACAATGCTAACCCGCTAGCGCAACACAAACCTGATGACGTGCCCCTGGTGAAGTTTGGCTCCTTTCTCTGGCTCCTAGTAAAATTTAAATACTGTAAATATTATTATAAGTGCCGCTCTCACGCTCTGCGGCTGAGAAAGATTTTTAATAAAAGTGATAAGACAAAACTCCAGCCATGTCTTTATTCCACACATGAACAAAACAAATGCTAATAGTGTGACATGTATGTATACACGATTGACCATGCTAACCTGCTAGCTCAATGCTAACACAGACTGTACACAGATGTATCATGCTAACCGGTAAGCTCATTGCTAACAGAGACTGTAAACAGATGGAATATGCTAGCCTGCTAGCTCAATGCTAACACAGACTAAACAGATGGACCATGCTAACCTGCTAGATCCGTTTACTAACTCAATGCAAACACAGACTGTACCCAGATGGACCGTACCAAGCCCCGGTGACTTTTCAAATGAATGGCTTGTGCTCAGTAGTGCATGGGACAGCCATTAGGACCAAAAATTAGTGGAACTCGACCATATTTGGACCTCGCCTGGTCCTCCCGGTTCTGCGCAGTGGACGAGCTTCGTGCCAAATAGGCATGTGTGGCACTGGGGCTCAGCCGCATTTGGACCATAGACTGTATATATTAACGGACAGAGTCACGCCTATCTCCGCCATTCTAACTAATGGGCCAAAAAATGTGCTCTACTGGTGCAATCCAAGATGGCCGCGAGTGGTCCCGCCCACAAGAAAATTAGGAAAAAACGTATCTGCGCATGCGTCAGCCGGCACAACTCCATTCATTTGAACGAGAGACTTCAAAAATTCACAGCAAGTAAACTAGAGTGGACCAAAAAAATCCACCCCCCTCAGCATTAGGGCTGAAACAACTAATCGATTAATCGACGACTAATCGATTATGAAATAGTCGACAACTATTTTAGTAATCGATTAATCGTTTTCTGGTTCACACGGACTCAAACAGAGCAAAAATGACATGAAAATGTAGTATTTTTGATTAAAACCGACTTTGTTTTTATAATTTCATGAATATCTGTCTGTCTCATCCAATCAGAGCAGAATTAGCACAAAGAGTCTGTTACAAACATTTACTTTAAGTTTACGGCATCAATACGTCCTCGAGTGTTGCCACTTTAGCTTTTTGTGATGAAAAAATACATTTTTTCTAAATTTCTACACAATTCACAGCCAAGCGATTACTCGATTAATCGTAAAAATAATCGATTACAAAATAATCGATTACAAAATAATCGTTAGTTGCAGCTCTACTCAGCATTGACACACATGTGGAACGGAGCTTTGGGCCAAGAGCCAACTTTTGGTCCATCCTGTAAAGACGTTTTTGAGAGGTCTGCCAATGCTATATGTTAGCATTTGGACCAATCAGCGGCTGCTGATCAAAGCGGAGCCAGAGCGAAGCCAAACAAGCAAAGTTGTTTGCAATGAAGAAAACCAAAGGATTTGACAAGAAAAGTTCAGTCTGACAAGGGACACTAAAATCCACAATAAAATCCGATCTTTATGAAAGCTGTAGGTTCTCTGTCAGCAGAGGTTGAGCTGTTTTAATTTACATTGAGTTCTTTGGGACTTTTTTCTGAGTACCCCTCGTGAATTTAGTCTGCAGTACCAAGGGCGCCCCCTGTGCCCATGGGTGGAACAGCTCTAAGGTAGTGATAAGATAAGAGATCCAGGAACTTTCAATGTTGCAGGACAGACAGGACAGTAGTAAGAGCACACTGCGGCACCGTGGCTGAGTGGATAGCACTCTCGCCTCTCAGCAAGAAGGTCCTGGGTTCGAATCCCGCAAGGCCTTTCTGAGTGGAGTTTGCATGTTCTCCCCGTGTCTGCATAGGTTTCCTCCAGATATTCCGGTTTCCCCTACCACTAAAAATATGTACAATAGTTCTGGCATGCGCCTCCTGTACTGGCGACCCTGCTCCCATCTCTGTGTGGAGTGAGAGGACAAGTGCCCAAAAAATAACAATTGTAAGCTTTGAGACTCAGATCTGCAGTGAAAAGGCGGTATATAAATAAAGAAGACTTACTTACTTACAAAATAAGTAATAGCTATGTTTCTTAACTAGTAAATGCTTCAAAACCAGAGCTCCTGGAAGTTTATTCAGTTTCCTTCAGGTTTCAGTTTTTTCAGACAGAACAAAATCAGGATATGGTTTATATAGTCAACATTTACGTCACACACACGTCATACATGGAAAAACATACGTGTCACATCAAGAGACAATCAGAACATAACAAGACATCGAAAGAATATAACACGGATACACAATCGGGTCGTTGTGACCTACGCAAGGCCAGATCACGTGTTAGCTATCCAATTCCCATAATACTATACAGTACATATTGGGCAGGATAATAATTCTGAAGTAGCAGTATTGCACATTTCAAATGGTTTTTGTATTTACTTATTTACAGATGAATGACATTTACAGGCTCAGCAGTTCTCATTGTACAGTCTAACAGCAGTAGGAAGGAAAGACCTACAGAACCTCTCCTTCACACAGCAAGGGTGAATTAGTCTGTCACTGAAGCTGCTCTCCAGAGCAGAGAGAGTGTCCTGCAGGGGGTGACAGTCATGGTCCAGCATACATGTTAGTTTGCTCAGGACCCTCCTGTCCCCCGCCTGCTGCACTGTGTCCAGGGAACAGCCCAGGACTGAGCTGGACTTCCTGATGACCTTGTCCAGCTTCTTCCTGTCCCTCTCTGTGATGCTGCTGCCCCAGCAGACCACACCGTACAAGAGGCTGATGCCACCACAGAGTCATAGAAGGTCTTTAGGAGTGGTGATAAGCACAGTTTCAATAATTACAGACCGGTGTCACTTCTTTCACAATTCTCCAAAATTCTTGAAAAATGGTTTGTACAAAAGTGAACTCATTTTTTAGATAAACATAAATTAATTAGTGAAAAACAATATGGATTTAGAACACAGCGATCAACTGGATTGGCACTGACGGAGCTGGTTGAAAAAGGCAGTCAGAGCTGCACCCAATTCACTTAGCACCAGCCCCTCACTGATCCTCTGCAGGTGATGAGTCCACAGGAGGACGGCACAGGTATATTCCACTCTGTCAGAATTTACATACAGTATAACCATCGAAAAGGGTATGGTTAAAGTAAGAAATTGGTTTACAGACAATAAATTAAGCTTAAACCGGGAAAAAACAAAATATATGACTTTTGGGAACAGGGTAAAAAAATACATCTCTAAAATTACAATCGATGGAGTAAGCATCAAAAGAGTAACAGAGCTTACATTTTTTGGAGTCATTATGGACGAAAAGTTAAACTGGAGATCTCATCAACTGTGTCAAAAGTTTTGGTATTTTATACAAATATTTATACTAAATATATATTTAATTGTAAGTCTCTCCACATATTGTATTGATATTGCCATATCTGACATATTGTGTTGAAGTCTGGGAGAACACGTACACTACAAACACAAAACCTCTGTTTCTCTTACAAAAAAAAGCTATTAGAATCCTAAACAAAAAGGGCTTCAGAGAGCACACAAAAAACTTGTTTATAAAATCCAGACAACTTAAAGGACAACTCACCCTCAAATCCACTTTTTTTTTGCTGATAAACGGTATAAATGAGTGTCCAATAGTGTTGTCTACATATATTGGTCATAATTTGATCACTTTGGTGCAAATTAGTTGAAAGTTAAACTTTCTGCCTAAAACCGTCTGTGAGGCGCCATCTGCTGGCGACCTGTATCACTACATTTGAATTTTGAATCTGGCGCCAACACTGGCGCGGCAGCAAGACTTGGGCCAATACTCGCACTTCCACCCTCGCGCCCCTCATTTGCGCGTTCCCGATAAAGGGTGCGAGTGCGTAGGGTGTCCCAATTCTCCAGGGAGGCCTTACCCTGGATCAAGCCCCGGCGATCCAAGATGGCGCCCTATTCAAATGAATGGTTGTGCTCAGTGGCGCTTTGTGACAGCATGGGGGCTGAAAGTTTAGCGGAAGTTGCCTGAAACTCGCAAAGATCTATGGGAAACTCGCCTGTATTTGGGCATCGTCTGGTCCTCCCGGTTCTGTGCAGTGGATGATCTCCCATAATGCGTTGCGCCAAACACGCGTGTGTGGGTCTCACACCGGGTCTCACGCACGTGCACAGAGGGGTCGGCCGCGCTCTGACCAATCAGAGCAGTTCATCAGAGCGGGAGTTAGAGCGAGAGCCAGACGAGCAGAGTTTGTGGCATTAAAGTGTGGATTTAAACAAAACCGAAGGATTTAAGAAGAAAAAAAGTTCAGGATGACAAGGGACACTAAAATCC